TGAGCAGCTCTGAGCTCTCCACCTTCTTCCATACTGCTGTCCCCGTCCGGTCCCCCACACCCAAAGCCTGGCCCTCAGGAGGTACACTGGGTCCCCTCGAGGGGCGGCTCTTTCTGGTCTCGACTCCCATGTCTTGAAGGGCTGAAAGATGGCACAGAGGGCCTTCCTCCTCCTCAGTGTGTGAACCCCGAGTCCTGAGATCCCAGCCTCCTCCCCAGTGTGTGAACCCCAAGTCCTGAGCCCTCTTCCCCCTCTGTATGTGAACCCCGAGTCCTGATATCTCAGCCTCCTCTTCAGCGTGTGAACCCCGAGTCCTGAGCCCTCTTCCCCCTTTGTGTGTGAACCCTGAGTCCTGAGATCCCAGCCTCCTCCTCTGCATGTGAACCCCAAGTCCTGAGCCCTCTTCCCCCTCTGTGTGAACCTGGAGTCTTGAGCCCTCTTCCCCCTCAGTGTGTGAACCCTGAGTCCTGAGATCTCAGCCTCCTCCTCAGCGTGTGAACCCCGAGGCCTGAGCCCTCTTCCTCCTGTGTGTGTGAACCCTGAGTCCTGAGATCCCAGCTTCCTCCTCAGCGTGTGAACCCCGAGTCCTGAGCCCTCTTCCCACTCTGTGTGAACCTGGAGTCCTGAGCCCTCTTCCCCCTCAGTGTGTGAACCCTAAGTCCTGAGCCCTCTTCCTCCTCCTCTCTGTGTGAATCCTGAGTCCTGAGACCCCAACCTTCTCCTCTGTGTGAACTCCGAGTCCTGAGACCCCAGCCTCCTCTGAGTGTGAACCTGAGTCTGGCTGAACCCTGAGTTCTGAGATCCCAGCCTCCTCCTCTGTGTGTGGGCCCCAAGACCTGAGCCCCTTCCAGCCTACTAGCCTGCATCTCCCCTTTCCTCATCTGCTACCACTTCCTTATCCTCTGAATGTTCTAGAGGGTCTGTGCATGTGCAAAGGCCCTGAGGTGGGGAGTACTTGGCTTCATGAGGCAGAGCCTAAGAGGTGCTCGCTGCATCCTGCCATTCTGTGAAGCACAGCCATGCAACCCCAGGCTGGCATTAGAAGGCTGACTTAGCCACGGTGTGAGGATGAGTGCAGAGCACAGTTGAGGTCCTGGGGGTGTGAGGCAAGGCGCCATGTGGAGGACAGTGTGGGCACATGATAGCGCACAAATCTCAGATGAGGGCCAGCCATGCTGTGTGTGTGCATGCTTGCGTGTGGGTGTGCCTGTGTATGTGGGCCTGCCTGGGTGTGCACCTGCATGCATGTGTATCTGCATCTGTACACCTGTGTGCACCTGTGTGTGCCTGTGTGTTTGCATGCTTATGCACTTGTGCATGTGTGCCTACATGCATAGTACCTGTGCATGTGCACCTGTTTGTGCATATGCACCTGTGTGTCTGGTGCAAATGTACTTGTGCGTGTGCCCCTGTGCCCGCATGTATATGTACCTGTGTGCATGCACCTGCGTGTGTGTGCCTGTGCACCTAGGTGTATATGTACCTGTGCATATGCACCTCTGTGTGTGTACCTGTGTGTGCCTGCATGCATGTGTGCACGTGTGCCGGTGCATGTGCAACTGTGTGCATTGTACCTGCATGTGTGCTTATGTGCATGTGCACCATATGTGTGCCTGTGCATGTGTGTGCACCCACGTGTGTTGCACTGCATGCGTGCACCTGCATGTGTGTGCACTGTATGTGCCTGTGTGCATATGCACTCATGTGTGTTACGCCTGTGTGCGTGTGCACCTGTGTGTGTGTGCACTGCACTACCCTGCTTACTGTGGTCAGTGGTGCAAACACACCCCTCAGGGACCTGCCGGAGCCACACGCACCCATCACCTTCAGCCTCTCCAACCTAGGCGCTGTTTAGACAAATACAACATCCGCTTCCCTTCTAGTCAAAGCAGCACACACACACACACTTATCTTAATGTCTGACATGACTGACAGAACAACTTTTGTTTGGGTTACATTTTTTTCTGTTTGTCAATTTCACTCCAAAACCCGAATAGAAACACTCATAAAGTTCAACAACAAAAGAAGAGATGTCTCCATGTTTCAGCTTTGAAGCAGTGTGTGTTAAAAACAATGACACCACGAACAATACCATCAAACTTTGACTATCTGCAACTTCAAAAATACACAGCAGAGGCACAGAACCCTCTCCCGCTTACAGAGCGAGACATGGGGGTCCAGGGCGGGCGATGAGCCACGCACCACCCTGTGTTCCTTAGTCAGCTTCACGGCTTAGTAGTTCCCAAAGAGCCGGGCCTGGAGGCCGGCAGCCATACAGGGAACACACATTTAAAGCTCTCTTGACGACCCTCAGTACCTTCAAGCGAATGTCACGGTGAAGCTAGGCTTAAAGAGCGATAGGGCACCGCATGGGGGGCTCACAGAGCAGTCTGGGCAGAGTCGGACAGTCTGGCCGCTGAAGTGAGCCGGCTGGGGCTGAGACACAGACGTTAGGCACTGGAGAGAAGCCAGTGGGGTGTGGGGTGCCCGTCCAGACAGGACTGAGCATGGCTAGCCCTGTGGGCCATTTGTCTTCCTTCCTAACACGGTGGAAGCTACTGGAAAAACAGAACTGGCCATGCCAGCCGTGGACTGACGAAGACGCAGGCCCGGAGTTTCCTCTGAGGTTATGATGGCCAGAGAGGAGGGGAAGAGGGAGGGAACGCCTGGCAGTCTGCTGCCGGTCCTCAGAGCTGGGAGTGTGCAGGCAGGTGTCTCTGCAGAGACCACATCCACCTGCTGCTTGCCCGAGGTCAGCCTGGGAGGGGCTGTGCGGGCTGCCGGGACCTAGTCCCACAGCACAGCATCAAGGACACACTCCTGGGGAAAGACTACATCCATCCTTACAGTGAGCAGTCCGTGATGCACACGAGAACCACACATGTGTAGGAAGAGCCGTGTTCACTGCAGGGCAGCCTGCGTGCAATGCATCCATTCAGGAGCGCCTATTTTCAGGAATGTGTGCACTCAGAAGCAAACAAACTGAACTGCAAGGAGGCTGCAATTCAGTGCAGAAGCCTAGGTAAAACTGAGATCTATCCCTGATTCTATGTTTGTAATATCTCAAATTGTTTTTTTTTTCTTGGTCAGTTGTGGGTTTTGAACTCTGGGCCTGGGCGCTGTCCCTTAGCTCTTCAGCTCAAGGCGAGCGCTCTACCACTTGAGCCACAGCACCACTTCTGGTTTTCTGAGTGGTTTATTGGAGAGAAGAGTTGCACAGACTTTCATGCCTGGGCTGGCTTTGAACCGTGATCCTCAGCCTCCCCAGAAGCTAGGATTACAGGTGTGAGGCATGGGTGCCAAGCTCTCTGTAGACAGCAGAGAGGGGCAGGAGAGACGGTGGAACTCTCAGACTCCCATCACAAATGTGCCTGCCCGTGCCCCACGTCGGGGTGCTCATCATGCTGCACCTCGCTGGCGGTAGGAGCCCAGGCAAAGGCAGGACAGGACCACAAATTCCTCAAGTGCAAAAATGGCTTCCAATTCCCACAGTGCAGAGATCAGGACCCAATCCTCTTTTCAGAGGCAGGAGCAGGATGAATCTGTGTGGGGAAACCAGGCAGCCAAGGGCTGGAACATCCTTTCCCCATGGAGTCGGGGTTCACAGGGCCCTCGGCCATCCCCCCTGAATGGAGGAAGGTGTCCGTACACCCCCCACCTCTCTCCTGAGACAGAGGATGGTGAACAAGGGTGGGTCCTCAACTTCTTGACAGCAGTACCTGCCATTCTACTTGGAGAGAAATAGGTAAGAGAATGCCCGTGGCTTGGCGAACAGCTGGCCTAGGAAATACGTTACACATTGGAGACTGAGGACCAGTGTCACTTCCGGTTCCCCCAGGAAGGACGGATGCCTGAGGCCACCAAAGCCACGCCATCCAGTAAGCACAGGTGCTCTTTGTTCCAGAGCACCTCCCCACAGAGAAAGTGAAGCAGAGGCAGTGGGGACTGAAACACAGAACTTCAAGTTTACACTGGGAGAAAAAAAAGTTGAAATCTCAACTAACAATCCACCTGCTACACAAAAATACTTAAAAACATTCAATATTCTAAAAAGGTATTTAAAAAAATGCCTTCTCAACAAGGTAGAGAAGAGAGAGAGAAGACAGGAGTAAGAAAAATGTGGTCAGGCTGGAGATCTTTGACTTTGTGTCTCCTACTCAACCCCAGGGTGCTTTTAATTATTTTTTTAGCACTTTTATTAGCACCAATCTGTTGTGCCAGAGGGTTTGATTTAGACAAGTTCTGTATATGCAAACAACACACCTTGATCGGATTCACCTCTCCATCCATCCATCCTCCTCCTCCTCCCCTTCCCAAAGAAGCTTCATGTCTACACACTTCCTCTCGTTCACTCTCCGGTCCTCTCAGTTACTCTCTCCACCCACCCTCCCCTCCACCAGATGTCTGGTTAGGACCCGTGGCATCTTCCTTTTCTCAGTGTGCCAGTTGCTGGGGACGAGGGTCATCTGGCACTTCACACAGCACCATAACCACATGGACTCTCCCCATCCTCACCACACAGTGAGCTTTTGACAGAACATGCTGGCAAAGTGTCACGCTCATAACGCCCAAGCCAGGAATTTACAAAATGAAAGTGAACTCCAGCTTGCACCACAACAGCAAGATGGGCAGAGAACCAACCCGTTAGTTTGGTTTGGGGGAACATTTATAGCTGCATTTTACATGTAAGATGAAAGTGATTATTTTTTTATTTAGAAGAGGGACAAAAGTACACAAAAGGGCAATATAAATATCCATCAACGCATCCTCCCCAAGAAAGTCCCAGGAACTAACTCCTGCAGGAGTGACCTTTTCTCTTTCAATTACCCCTGCCACAAAGCATCCATTCTTCTCCTCGTTGCTAGGTGGCAGTAGGGCACGGGGGAGAGATTGTCCCAGGCTCAGAGCATGCGAGGACTCACAGCTCACCAAGGATGACGGCTCAGGGAGATAAATTTAGATAAGCTCAGGACAGAGAAACAGAAAAGGGCCATACTCACCGGTTCCACGTTATAGGAGAAGAGAGCATATTCCCTGTCTGGAGAGATTTCGTATCTGATGGCTTTTAAGGATTGCTGAAGGGAAGAAGAAAAGGAAACAGAGAATGTTAACGTATGGTATACCACAACCCAGAGCCCAGTAGTCAGACCACCCTGGCTGATGTGTCACAATTTACTGACAAGTTTAGTAACCAGCCAGTTGACGTTTATTCTGTGGCTATGTCCTTTCTTTACAGCTAAACATCATTTGGTGAGTTGATCCTTTTTCAAACAAGACAGTCCCCGTGGCATCTGCTGAGACACCTCAGTAGAAATGAGAATGAAAGACGAAGGTTTTCCCTAAGTCTGGGACCACACGTGTTCTCCCTCCCTGTTGGAAGGGCTGTCTCGAGAGCAGGAGCCCATCTTACACATCCCTCTGCAGCTTGCTTCTCCCGCCAGCCACCAGCCCCTTCCCTCCAGGCCAGTCTCAGAGGGCTCTATCACTTTTCTGCCACATTTCTGACAGTCCCCGGCCATTGTGGCACGGAGTTCAGACTCAGAATTAGGAAACCCGATGCCTGACAACCAGGGTGTGGATGCTGACCAACATTCATCCCCTGGCTGTGGAGGAACAGCTGGTGACAGTATCAGGGATGTGTTGGCCAACAGCTCTCATGAGGATGCCGGCTCCAACCTGACCCTCCAGGGTCTACAGCCCCCGCGGGTGTGCGAGCCGAGGTCCTGTGACGGAGGTTTACTTTTGGTGCCTGCATGCTGTATATAAGCATGGGGTGCTCCATTAAACTTTGTCTACACCCGCATGGAATGGTCCACTTTCTGCCTACGAGATGCCATTCCCATGTCTTGCTGAGGAATCAGCAACAGCCCGCTCCTAAATTCATGCTCACAGGGACTTTTTTGAACTCTGGGCCTGAGTGCTGTCCGTCAGCTCTTCAGCTCAAGGTGAACGCTCTACCACTTGAGCACGGTGCCACTTCCAGTTTTCTGGTAGTTTATTGATGACAAGAGCCTCATGGACTTTCCTGCCTGGGCTGGTTTTGACCCTCAATCCTCAGATCTCAGTCTCTTGAGTAGCTAGGATGACAGCCGTGAGCCACTGGTGCCTGGCTCACAGGGACATTTAATCATTACTTCCCATGGTGTAGTTGATGTAGATTTTATCTTTAGAACTGTCCAGCTGTGTCCCCTTAAGAATATTTATATTATTACTAATATTATCAATATTGTTATTATTATATTATTGCCAGGCCTTGCTTGCTCAGCTGGTGCTCTAACAATTGAACAAAGCCTCCACTCCAGCTTTTTCCTGGTTATTTTTGAGATGGAGTGTCTAAGGCTTTTCTGCCCAGGCTGGCTCTGAATTACAATCCTCTAGATCTCACACTCCTGAGTAGTTAGGATTACAGGCGTAAGCCATTGGCTCACCGCTTCAGGGTTTTTCCTATGCTGAGATTGTTCTCCTCTTTCCTAAACTCCCTGGTAGGAGTTCAGCCCAGCACTGGGCCAGAGCCACTCAGTGATTGGTTACCTGCACTGCAAATATTGTCCACTGGAATGTGTACTCTGGGCCTGGGTGCTGTCCCGCAGCTCTTCAGCGCAAGGTTAGCACTCTACCACTTGAGCCACAGCGCCACTTCCAGCTTTTTTCTTTTTGCTTATGTGGTGCTGAGGAATCGAACCCAGGGCCTCAAGCATGCAAGGCAAGTGCTCTACCACTGAGCCACCTTTTATGTTTAAAATCTTACACTTTTTATTTTAAGTTAAATTTAGTTGTTTTTGTATTTTTTGCATTTCTTATTTTGATCACTTTTTTGTGCTAAAGGAAATGACAGTTTAAAAAAATACTGAAGCCTTTAATACAAAGAGAACTTCATTTTGTTATAATTAGGTTTTATTCCCGTGAATTTAGGGCCCTGTGGTCATGCTTGGCTTTTTCTTTGCCACTTGAGACATACCTCAACTTCCGGCTTTTTGCTGGCTAGTTCGATATAAGAGTCTCTCAGACTTGTAAGCCTGGGCTGGCTTCAAACTGAGATTCTCAGATTTCAACCCTCTGAGTAGCTGGGATTGCAGGTGTGAGTCACCAGCACCTGGCAAGTATCTATTCTTATATATGACAAGATCATTTCATCAAATATTCAATGCTATAGATTTTTAGAGGAGTTCTAATTAGGATTATATCAAAATTTGATATTAATTTTCAGAGAACATCTCTAATATTGTCTTTTTTTTTGTCAGTTGTAGGGCTTGAACTCTGGGCTTGGGTGCCGTCCCTCAGCTCTTCAGCTCAAGGCTAGTGTTCTACCACTTGAGCCACAGTGCCACTTCTGGTTTTTTGGTAGTTAATTGGAGATAAGAGTCTCCTGGACTTTCCTTGCCTGGGCTGGCTTTGAACCGTGATCCTCAGATCTCAGCCTACAGAGTAGGTAGGATTACAGGTGTGAGCCACTGACGCCTGGCCTCTAATATTGTCTTCTTATCTAAGACGTACATTTTACCGTAAAAAACTTCAAATCCTTACAAAGACCCTGTAGTGTATTAATCACAGAAAAAGCTGAAAGTGGCTCAAGTGGTAGAATGCTAGCCTGGAGCAAAATGGAGTTCAGGGACTGGGCCTAGGCCCAGAGTTTGAGCCCCAGGACTGGCAAAAAAAAAATCAAATTATTTGTCTACTGATTATAAAAATCCAAGTGGGTGTCAATGAGGGAAACAAAAGTGCTTTTTCCTTGAATGTTAGTTTACTGATTAAATGAAGTGATCATCACGGTCAGCAGTTACACCAGCAGAGGCACAAGGGTGCACAGAAGTGAGCACCGCAGCACAGCTGTTGTTCTACCATCCAGGTAACTCCAGGAGACCTCTACAGCCTTCAAGTCCTCATGATTGGAACAAGTCTAATCTCTGAAACCTGAGAGGGAAGTTTTAAGAATCTGATTAACACTACTGAGTAAACGGCATTGAAATAGCAATTATGGAAATCACTATGTTGGAAAAATAACACATAAAAGTCCAATGCCCAAGAGGACACACTATTAGCTGAATGTTCCTTTCTTGGATTTCCCAGCATTCACAGGTGAGGTTTACAGTTGTTGACAGAAGTATAAGTATGACTCTGTATTAAATCTTCATTTAATATAAAAACATAAATATCTTTCAAGCAACTGAAGCCTCATAGCTGTTATTTTAATGGCTATGTTATACTTCAGTTTTCCCATCTTCTTACTTGTCTTGTTTTAGGTATTTCTGCTATCATGAACAATGCATCAGCACTGTGCCTTTTATATGTCTTTTTTTTAACTTGTGAAAAGAATTCCCCCGGGTGACTAAAAAATGGGTAAATATTTTCATTACTCTTGAAATGCATTGCCAAGCAGCTTCCTCAACACAAGGCACAATTTGAATGAAACGGGAGACACATCGATCTCTTCTTTGTCAATAGAAAAGGATGTGCAGGGTGTGAGATCCATCTCAATCCAGCGAGTTACTGTGGAATAGCCTCGCTAGAGCAGGAGCAGGGCAAGCGATGGAGCGATGGAGCCAACCCCATGCAAGGGATGGAGCGACGGAGCCCACCCCACACGAGGGATGGAGCGATGGAGCCCACCCCACGCGAGGGATGGAGCGACGGAGCCTACCCCATGCAAGGGATGGAGCAATGGAGCCCACCCCATGTGAGGGATGGAGCGATGGAGCCCACCCCACGTGAGGGATGGAGCGACGGAGCCCACCCCACGTGAAGGATGGAGCGATGGAGCCCACCCCACGCAAGGGATGGAGCGACGGAGCCCACCCCACACGAGGGATGGAGTGATAGAGCCTACCCCATGCAAGGGATGGAGCCACGGAGCCTACCACATGCGAGGGATGGAGCGACGGAGCCCACCCCACATAAGCGATAGAGCCATGGAGCCCACCCCATAAGTGGTGGAGCCACAGAGCCCACCCCATGTAAGTGGCACTGACATCACAATTCCCTTGGCAAGCATTAGTGGTTTCCTCGTCTAAGAAACAAACACACCCTGCACAGTCTCTCTCAGGTTTATACATCTCAGTTTCACACAAAGGCTGAAGAAAGTCCTGGTCTCCTGAGAAGTGTGTTCTGGTATGAGTTTGCAGGAATTCCAGGACCCATGGAATCTACTCAGTTAAATTGACCAAACTGGATGAAATCCACTTTAAGTGCACTTCTACTAGAAAGGCAGGGAACTTTCTCTGGGATGGAGGGGGAGGGCAATGTCTCTGAGCATTTTTGCTCAAGGATAGCACTCTACCACTTGAGCCACACCTCTGTGTCTGGCTTTTTGGTGGTTAATCGGAGATAAGAGTCTCACAGACTTTCCTGCCCAGGCTGGCTTTGAATCGTGATTCTCAGATCTCAGCCTGTTGAGCAGCTAGGATGGCAGGCATGAGCCCATACTGGGCTGATTTTTTATTGAATGTTAGAAGTCTGAGCGTGCCTCAGACTGGAAAACAGTTGTGATCAAGCCTTGTGAGGGGTAAGATCTGGCCTTTTGCCACTCCTGTCTGGACTTGGGGGCTGCCCAGGGTGGGCGCTCGGCCTCGGCTGCCTGGATGATGGGGTTCTCCCTGCAGCATGGTGTGCTGCATTCCCATGCTCACGTGGCCTCCTCTGGCCTAGCTTCCTGCTCAGCTCCCTGCAGGCCCAGCCCCACACTTTGAGCCTGCACTGCTGGGGCTTGCTGTCCTCTAGGCAGAACACAATCCCCTCATTGTCTTTCCCACATTCCTTAGAGAGGAAGGACCCGGAACCTTAGGCAGCGCCTGTGGCTGAGCAGTGCAGAGCTCTAGCTAGGAACTGACATTCAAGGTCAGGACCCTGGTGCTACCGGTCCCCTCCTCCTCTGCTATCCACCCACAGTGGAACACCTCCCAGGTGGGGGACAAGAAGCAGCAGCAAAGCCTGTCTGGATGTTCATCCATGAGGACCTCCTGGACCCTGGGCAGCATGCATGGTTGAGTTCACGTCCCATGGAAATCTGAATGAGCTCTTCAAAATTTCCACAAGAATCGTGTTCAACAAGACATTTTAGATTGCTTCGTATGAATTAATAATGACAGAGGACACTCGGTACAATATTGTTGGGGCTCAGGCGTGGAGATCCCCAAACAGGCTACAATGGGCCCCAGAGAGTCCCTGGGACAGAGGAAGGCTGGGTGGAGTTAACCGTGCGAGTTACACTTATCCCGAGGGAGGCGGAACGTCTCACAGCATCCTAGGGGGCAGGGCACTGTCCGGGGGTGCTGTCCTGGGCCCACTCTGGTTACACAAACACTGCAAAACGTACTTCACAGGTCTCCCCACCTTGCCCTGGGAGGGGCACAGAAGCCCCGGGCTTCCTGCTGTGTGCAGACGTGGAATGTGAGCACCATGCAGAAACAGCCACGTTTTCCCTCACACTCGTGTGCCTTTTGCCAGTTCATTACCACTGACTCGAACCCTGAACCTTCATAGGGGAAGGGCAATGTCCCTGGAGCCTGCCACCAAACACAATGCTCAGCACGCTGCAAACCTCCCACTCCAGGAAGCAACATGCAGGGCACAAACTCCAGAAACTGCCACACCGCAGGCTGACACCACCCAAGGAACTCTGACGCTGCGAGCCCCCGCCTCACCGCTTGCTCAACCCTCTCACACCAGCCAGATGCCCCCCAGGGCACCAACAACGTGTGCTGCCAGGGGCGATGAGCTTGCACCAGGGCAGGAAGGACAGAAGCGGCGTGCGTGAGGACTTTGGCGCAGAGGAATTTAAACGTGGAACCCGGCACTCTGAGACACGCTGCAGGCCCCCAACTGCCTTCTTTCGTTTTATTTTCTCCATTGTTGTTGTAAGGTGAAGTACGGAGTAGGCTACAGTTCCACTCGCCAGGTAATGAGTGCGTTTTCTCTTTGGACAATGCCAGCCCTCGCTTTCTCCCCGTCATTCATTTCTTTTGTTGAAGTCTCATTCGGGAGCATTTAAATGTAGCTCTGAGAGAAGAATTGTGAGTTGATGGGGCCGTGTGCATCATTTACCTAATAACGGTTATAACATGCGGGCAGGAGTGACATTTTAAGGTGAAAGAGACTGCAGCATGCAGCACAAGCCAGCTAGTCCACAGCCACGAGGGCTTTCCTTACCTGCAGCCGGCTGGGAGGTGCCTTAGGATTCCACTAAACAGCTTCCGTTAACATCCACCATCACAAGCTACTGACCTAGGAACTGGAGGCGGCGCCCGTCCTGGAGCCTGAGCACCCAGCACCGCACTGCACACTTCGGGAATCACGGCCGCCCCTCACTCACAGGCATCGTTATTGTTTCCTTTTTTTCTTTCTCATTTTTGTTGGTCATGGGGCCTGAACTCTGGGCCTGGGCACTGTCCCTCAGCTCTTCAGCTCAAGGCTAGGGCTCTACCCCGTGAGCCACAGCGCCACTTCCGGCTTTTTCTGTGCATGTGGTGCTGAAGAATCGAACCCAGGGCTTCATGCATGCTAGGCAAGCACTCTACCACTGAGCCACCTTCCCAGTCCTGCCTGGGTCTTCTTTTGCAGAGTACAAATTCATTCAGGGAATGGCACCCTCGCCCAGCCGTGCAGGCCTCCATCCTCAGAGGCTTCATGAAGGAGAGGCTCCGCGTGATGATAAATGTGAGTGAAACTTTTTTTTTTTAATGGTATCTTATTCAGGCACTAATGAATCATGCCTCTAATTCTAGTGAGTCAGAAGGCTGAGAGCTGAGGACTGCAGTTCGAAGCTGGTCCAGGCAGGAAAGTCCATGAAACTCTTATTGCCCATTAAGCAGCAAAAGGAGAGGAGAGGAGCCATGGCTCACGTGGCAGAGTACCAGGCTTGAGTGAGAAAGCTAAAGGACAGTGCCCAGGCCCAGGCCCGGGCCTCAATATTGGCACTCACAATAAAAAAGGAAGAAAGAATAGGTATATTTATAGTAAAAAGAAATCACAACACATGAATGGCGAGTTCAGTAGGCTTTCTGTGGGTGCTGGAAGGGGTGGTACAGAGACCCAGCAGGAGGAATGTGGAACCCCACGAAATTCACTCACCAGCCCTCATCTGCAATACCAGGGGCTGACTAATACTTCCCCAGTCTCCTCTAATCCTGATTCCACGACTCCATGTCTACTCTGCACCTCATTCCTGTGTTATGAGTTATTCTCACTCAACATCCCTGACTGTTTTCAATTCTTGCCTTTTATTTAGATTGAGCTTTGTTCTCTTCCCGTGAATTCCCTGATGTATCAGACAAGAAAGTGATCAACATCTTAGAGCTTGAGATTTATTTCTCTTACCACCAGGTATGGCTAGACCGTAAGCAAAGAAACAAAGTTAATTCCTCTTTAATTGGGTTTTGGTACATAACTCCAGTCTTCAGATATTTTTAATATTGTTATACACAAAGCCCAAATCATAATGTCACTTAAGTCTCAGAGAAAACGTGTTTTCCCCGAGGATAAGTCTGTAGCACTCAGATCGACTCAGGGACTTATTTTGAAGCACAAACATCACTTCATATCATTAGGTAGAGTCACAGCGCCTATGATGACATTGCCTGTGTTTATTTCAAGAGTGACTGAGCAAGAGTTCTTTCAAGTACTATGCAGGCATTATTGTAATTGTTCGCTAATGGTGTAATGCCTTAAGACTTTATCTTTCAATTATAATGACATGCAACACTTGTTCCCGACACCTGCAGAGAGTTCTGGGACGGCGGCACAAAGCGAGCGTTCATCTTATTGAATTAGCGTGATTTCAATCGCACACTATCCACCCTCAGTTCTCAGCCTGTGGAGCCCAGCGTATTGCTTCTCCTTGGCTATACTACAAGTTGAAACCTGATGTCATTTTCTGCTTTATTGACTTGCAGGAGTCAAGCCTGAAATTATCCTGGTTAGACAGAGTACTTACGATTCTTTTGCCTTCTATTAGCACTGTAGAGTTATTTGTTTCAACGTTCCTCAGTATCACAGTTCCCGTCCGTTCTCTGTAGATGAATTCTTTATCTACAAAAGAGGAAATAAAAAGAAACATGAGTCATCTGTTTCTGATGGACACTTGTGTGAAATGAATCAACTCATGCTGAAAAAGGACACAGAGCTTTTTCATCAAAGAGTCCTTTAAACGTGGTGAATGCATCCGGTGCGGATTAATGTCATGTCCTACGAAGCTTGTCTCTGGGCCTCTCCTGCTCCCCAGGGGCAGGTCGCCCAGAAGGTGCACACGTAGAAACTTTGGGATGTTGGAGACTTTCTGGGGAGGGACACACAGGACAGAAGGAGGCTGACACCACGGGCTGAGAGGAGCTGTGCTAAGGAACAGTCCCCTCCCATTTGAGACTGGAGGGGGCCTACATTCATGCCCTACAGAGCCAGCCTCCATTTTGCCTGCAGACAGCTCTGTGCTGTTCTCAGAGAATACCACAGCCCTTGCTCTTGAATTTATACACGACACTCTCAGGCACAAAGGAGTCACATGCCTCTGATTTCAGAACATGCTATAAAATGATTATAACCAAAACAGCATGGTATTACTATGATAGTGGTTAAAAGAACTAGGAATCCTAGAAACAAACCCACATGTTTGTGGTGCCAGGAACACCCAACAAGGACAGCATCGCCTCTTCAATGAATGATGTGAAGAAAACAGTATCACATGTCGGTGTCTGGCCTGGACTTTGCTGGGCATGGTTTCCTGTCTTCTCTGTTAGCATTCTGAAGGCCTTACCTCACACCATATAGTGGCCCAAAATAGATGAAAGACTTGAAGACACAATGGGAAACTGCATGAGCACTAGAGTAAGTGGCAGGGAATTCTACAACATGGTTTGAATGGGTTTTTTCCTGGAGTAAGATCCTGAAAACAGGAAAATCCCAGGGGGGAAAAACAGACAAATACCAGGCTGGTATCAAATTAAAAACCCTCCTAGCATTTATTTTTAGTGGTTTTCCTAGGGGCTCTAAGATGCCTAACTTTTCCTTGTCAGCAAAGTTAATAATGCACCCCTTGTATGAACTAGAGGAATCTGCTCATGCCCGGTCCCTTCCCACACCACGCTGCTGGGCCGGCGTGCACGAGACAACGCCAGCCAGACTGTCTGCAGTGGGAAGCTAAGGTGAAAATGTCAAAAAGCAAGATGCCTGAGGCCCCTGCGCAGCCCCCATTTCTGACGCGCCCTGAGTGGTATGGGGGTCTTGGTCTCCACGGATGACCCTTCTCTTACTGCCAGAGGAAGTTTGCCAGGATCTGGGCTGGCAAGGCGTTTGGGATTCTCTGTCTTACTGAAACGTCCTGATTCAATTCTTATTCATGAAGGATTGATTCTCTGGATATCTATTTTCGGGCTGTGTTTCCTGTTTTTCCTGTTCGCATTCAGAGTGTCGGTCCCACCCTCTCTGTCTGCTGCGTGCCCCGAGGAGCCGCGTGGTCCGCGCATGGCTCTTCCCGCAGGAGGGCTTCTCGCAGGCATCTCTCTGTCTTTCCCTTTGCCAGTCACCTCTGGTTTTCGACTGTCTCGAATGTGATGCGCTTTAAATGGGGCGCCTTTGTGCTCCTTTTGTCTGATGCTCTCAGAGCAACTGCTGTCTACCGAGGGATATTTTTCATTCCATTTCTAGCCATGATTTGTCGAGTACTTTTTTTCTGTCCCTCTACCCTTCTCTCTCCCTGGTACCTCCATTGCCCACATGCATGCCCCAGCTCTTATTTTTAAAAATTATTTCCCTTAACTGTCATCAAGGGTATTAGCTGTTATAAATATATTAGAAAAAATTAAGGAATCAATATCTAGGAGTATTGAAATGCATAAGAACCAGGTCTCACCCATATAGAGAATATCATCAATGAAGAGACGGAAATCATTTAGAGTAGAATGGAAAAATAGGAGGGCAAAAGCACATTAGAAATATAAAAAGCCAATAGCAAAATGGTAGACATACCGCTGTTGATAATCTCATTAGCTATAAATTGATGTTGGAAAACAAACATGTCATACAGTTATACACGGTCTACACGCAACACACTTCAAATAACAGTTACAAATGCAAATAGTAACTGAAATAGAGCTAGGCTGGCTAAAATAATATACCAGGTGAAATAACATTTAAGCCAAAAATATTAGAGGTAAAGTGAGACATTTGACATGAAATTAGGGGTTCAGTGTGTCAAGATGTGCAATCACATATGCACTAAACAAGAGTGTCCCCAAATACATGAAGCAAACACTGAAAGAACTAGAGGGATAAAACAACAGCAATCTAAGTATGTTCATTAGAGATGTTGACTGGCTTTCATTACTTAATAGAACACTAAGGGATGGACAATGGATGGAAATGAATGATATAAGCAACACTGCAAAACAAATGGACAAATAAGTCTTTAGACCATTCCATACAAAACTGGAGAAATACACATTCTTTTCAAATGTACACAGAACATCCTCAAGGGTAGAGGATATTCTAGGCCATGTAACAGGCTCAGTAAACTCGAAAAGGACACTCTCAGGTCAAGTATGTTCCACTGCAATAACAATGGAAATCAATTACACAGGAACAAGGGAAACACAGACTGTTGGAAATTAAATGCCTTGTTGGTTGTGACAAAGGGGTCAAAGTGGAAATCACAAGTGAAATTAGGGAATATTTTGAAATGGGTAGAATAAAACATATAAGTTGTAACTAAAGTAAACTGTGGGGGAAATTAATGGCTCAGATACTAATATTAATATTAAAGAAGAAAAACCTCAAACCATTAACTTTAATTTCCAATAGCAAAATAAGTACAAACAAAACTTGAGGAGGAGAAGGAAGGGCATACTAAAGATGAAGATGAAAATTGATAAAGAACAAGAAAATAATGGGGAAAAACTCAATAAAATAAAAAAAGTTCTCAGAAAAGATCAGATTCTCAAACTTCTAGCTAAACCTATAGGAAAAAAGATGTGAATCAGTAAATTTAGAAATGAAGAATGTGGCATTCCTCCTTAGTATACAAGCATAAGAATGGCCTGCCAGGGAGGACATGAAGAGCTTTATGTCCACACATCCAATCATCTAAGTGAAACAGAAAAGTATGAGAAGTCTCAAACTACTGAGATTGACGCAAAAAGAAATAGGAAATCTGAGGTCCCTCTAACAAGTAAAACAACAGAATTAGTACATAAACCTCGCCCTCTAGGAAAGCCTGGGCCAGCTGGCTTCTCTTCCAAACTCTACCAAACAAACTGCCAACATAGCAAGGCATCCAAGACAAGGAGGAATATCCTCTGGTGCACCACAATAGCAGAATCTTGATAATTTCTGTGCTGGTCCTGGAACTTGAACTCAGGATCTGGGTGTTATACCTGAGTTTGTTATTTTTTTTTTCTTTTTGCTCGAGGATAGTGATCTACCACTTAAGCCACAGCTCCACTTCCAGTTTAGAGTTCCTGCCTCAGGTGGCTTTGAACCGTGATCCTCAGATATGTCTCCTGCATAGCTAAGATTACAGGAGTGAGCTGCTAGTGCCTGGCTAAAGACAAACACATTAAAAAAACAAAAACGCCCAGACCAAAATCTCTGAACATGGCTGTAAAAACTACCTTAGTATGTTAATTATACACACAGGAAAGTACAATGCAAGGTTGGCCGGACATAGGCAAGCAATTCATGTAACACATTACCCTGACTGAAATGGCTGAGAAGGGCTCACTGCAAGAGGAGCTTATGTGGACGATGACACCAGCAGCCGGCCCTTCTGGACAGAGTCCGGTGTGGCGGTGGGCACCACCAAACTACTGGTTCATCGGTTGTGGCAAAGGTATCATGTTAATGTAAGGCCATAACAACAGAGCTGCTGAGTACAGGCATTCCAGCACTCATTGCACCTTTACAACTGTAGAATACAATAAATTGATTCTAAACTAAAGCTTTCTTAAAAATAACGTCCAGAATCGATTCCGGCAAAGGACCGTCAGGGCCTGCTAGTGCCCAAACAGCTGCCCAGCCGTAGGTCCATGGTCAGAGTTGCCATCCCTCACGATGATACCGCGTTCAGCCTCTTGAAATATCACCACCCAGGACAGGGTGACAAGAACACACCACACCAGCCAAGAGGACATCACCCAGTTCTCCAGTTACAACCCAGACTGCTCATTCTCAGTGAAAACTCCAAACATTCTCCCAATCTACAAACTCTATTTCAACGTCCACTGCAAGGCCCAGAAATGTATGTACTGGGGGGAGGGACTGAGGGCTCAGTGCTGGACGTGTATGTGCTAGGTGATAGGAGACTGAGGGCTCAGTGCTAGACCTGCATGTGCTAGGTGGGGGGAGACTGATGGCTTAGTACTGGATATGCATGTGCTAGGTGGGGGAGACTGAGGGCTCAGTGCTGGACATGTGTGTGCTAGGTGATAGGAGACTGAAGGCTTAGTGCTGGACATGCGTGTGCTAGGTGATAGAAGACTGAAGGCTTAGTGCTGGACATGCGTGTGCTAGGTGATCAGAGACTGAGGGCTTGGTGCTGGACATGTGTGTGCTAGGTGATAGGAGACTGAGGGCTCAGTGCTGGACATGCATGTGCAAGGTGATAGGAGACTGAGGGCTTAGTGCTGGACATGCGTGTGCTAGGTGGGGGGAGACTGAGGGCTTAGTGCTGGACATGTGTGTGCTAGGTGATCAGAGACTGAGGACTTAATGCTGGGCATGTGTGTGCTAGGTGATAGGAGACATGGCTTAGTGCTGGGCATATGTGTACTAGGTGATAGGAGACTGATGGCTTAGTGCTGGACATATGTGTGCTAGGTGATAGGAGACTGAGGACTTAGTGCTGACATGTGTGTGCTAGGTGATAGAAGACTGAGGGCTTAGTGCTGGACATGCATGTGCTAGGTGATAGGAGACTGAGGGCTTAGTGCTGGACATGTGTGTGCTAGGTGATAGGAGACTGAGGACTTAGTGCTGGACATGTGTGTGCTAGGTGATAGGAGACTGAGGACTTAGTGCTGGACATGCGTGTGCTAAGTGAT